CCGGTTCAAAGATGGGATGACTCCCGTTCAAGTTCTTAATGGGGTTCAGAACCAATAACTCTGCACGTTAAGACTCGTCTGAACAGCATGAATGCCATTGCCGCGCCTCATTATATTAGCATAGCCCTGATCCTCAGCTGGATACTGTAGAACTATGGAGAGCTGGACATTGTACCCAGGAGCCAGTAGTAAGCTGTAACTCGAAAGTACCGAGAGGTGTTCTTTCGAGGAGACCATGATATTGGAAAAACTAATTTAATGTAGCACAAGATTGACACTGGAATGAATCCGCCGATATGTCGGGACATCGGCATATCGATTTTCATCAACGGAAATAAGCGAAAGGACTTGTGTAGGATATGGTAAAGAACTCCATAATCGAGTCGCTCAATAGTCTATGGGCACCATCGGTTGTGCTCATAATGAAATAGCACGGAACGGCGAGAATTTTAACTAGACTATCGGAAGCTGAACGAAGCAGGGATAGCCAGCCAATCCCTCGGATCGACGACACTCTTGGTGCCTTTTGAAATGTCCAGTAGTCCTTCAAAATCTACCTGACCTCAGGATATTGACTGATTGAAGTGGGTGAGAGACAGTGACTGCTATTACGACTCCGTTTGATGTGTATCAATTCAAAGTCATGCCATTTCGGTTGAGAAATGTGCCCAGCATGTTTTAAACGTTCATACTGTTTAGTATGCACTTTCAGAACTCTAGTGAAATCCTTGCCTCGTCCCCCTGGAGAATATCATTGTGTTCGGCCAGACACCGGAAGAACATATAACCCGCCTGAGAGAGGCGTTCGTACAATTCAGGCAAGCAGACTTGTAAAAGAAACCCGATGAAGTCCGCTGTTCTGCCAGTGAATGAATTACCTGGAGCACGTTATCACAATGGCATTCTGAAGGTATCAGAACATACTCGTAGGTCGCGCTGTCACGCTGACCGGCACAATCGAGCGCAAATAGATTTCCTTTCCCATCCAGAGGTAGTTCCTGGGGTTACTTTCTTACTACTGGCAGTTCATCCAGAATCTTGTCGCCCTTTGTATACACTGGGTAACAAGGATAAGACCTGGAGTTTGGTCGGATAGGTGCAATTCAGCATTTCAGCAGGTTGAAACACGCAGATTCTCAATCATTCTTTCTTCAACAAGGATTTTTTTCAGGATACGGATTCCAGTGATGACAATTTTGGGGCAATTCCGTCGTAATGACAAGGAGCACGTAATTCGAGAGGAATTGAGCAAAGCCGAAGATGGTACTGCGCCATCAGCGAGGGGATGTTAGTTCTGGTATGAAAGCACGACAGTTCAAGTGTTACCTATTGGAAAGACTGCATCAGGCTCGAGCGGATCACAACTTGCACTGGCTGTGCACATTTAAAGAATCGGACGGTTAGATCGCTCGGTGGCCGGAGCCCTTGGCAGAGTTTGACTTCCACATCCAACATCGACCGCAGAAGCGAAGTGCCAACGCTCATGCACTGACCAATGTCCGCAGACACAGGGAAATTGCTTCAGCAGCAGTGAACGCTTCGGCTGTCTGGTGATGGCGAATTATTTCGTCGAGACCAGTCAGAAGTCAAGTCGAGAGAGTCGGACCTAGGCGAATTGTTGAACCTGAAACCCAGTTCTTTGCCAGCACAGCGGCAACAGTGACTCGCAGACCTTATGGAGACGGCGCGAAAGTCTCTCATGGGAAGATCAATTCCGTACTACACCTGGGTGAATGCTACTCTTCGTAGTTCGTTGTATCATAGGAAGGCGGTACTTGACGCAGTGCATAACGGTTTTCTCCGAAAAAGAAAATCTACCATGAAGCCTACCAGTTCAATAGTTAAATGCCTAAGAAGTTTAATAGTGAAAAATTTTATTCAAAAGCCTAAACGGCTTCTTTTATAGATTTTGATTCCGTCTTTTAAGACAAATTTAAACGAAGCAGCGCAAAGGGAGACAAATCAATAAAAGTACATACAATGATGTGTAGTAAGCTCAGGTGCAAACAAACAAAAACACGTTTCTTATGTAAAACAGATCAGTCAGGAAAACTGTTTACTTTTTAAACAGCAACATAAAATAACATCAGATAAAACCAAGTGTAAAAACTTTACAACGTTACCTGTAAAAGAGTAACTAAGGTTTAAGAATGAACTACAGATAAAATGCTCCAAAGGAGGGACATCATGGATCATTCGCCGCAAATCATACATAAACGTCGTCCGTTAATCCGCATGGCCGTCTGAATTCCTGCCCTCTTTCGTGAATCCACTTGTTGGCCACCCATTTAGTACCAGATAAAACGGGGCAGGCAGCATGCAAGGTACTTAAGTCCGTTTCGCCGCTTCGCTTAATATTATGCCAAAATGCGGCATCGTACTGAAATGTAAATATGAATTTAACTTGAGACTTCAAACTTTATTGGAACGCCAAAATAACGTATAATATTTCATAAGTATAAAATTATTAATGCACATCATGGATAAATATAAATCGCATATATTCAGCGGTTATAGACGCAATTTCGAGAGTAATGTTAAGGTTATTATTTCATTGCCGATATTTTGGTGAAATATCATTAACCATTGTCAAGAATGAATCCTGATCATCAAAGCAGTTCGACAGATAGTAAGGGCCAAAACATGTACAGAAGCCTGGTCTGTCCTTTAATAATATACTTATATCACTTTCTGGTGCGCTGCAACAGGTATTGTAAACCGGGACTTCCTAAAACTTGGAAATATTATTATGGGAGAATAATTGTTAACTCAACATTACTTTTTGAGAGACTACATGAACATCGGTGTATAAGAAAGGTTTTATTCTACTGAAGAATAATGCTGGTTTTCATCTTTCGCAAATCACTCAGAAAACTGCACCTGCTAGGCAAAGTAGCTTTTTCATCTATTCCATTCACCGGTATATTTCCTTTACGGACCTACAACATTTTCAAAAATCTCTACAACTTCCTTTTACAGAAAACACTGTCTCTCAAAGGTTGAAATTTCACTGAAGTAGCTGACTGCCACGCGAAATCCACAACTTTTCCAAAATGATGTGACCGCGTTTATTAGCAGAAATGTGTCAGTTGTAATGGAACTTATGCCGATTATAAAATTTATTTTCATCAAAGT